ATCCATCCATCCATCCATCCATCCATCCATCCATCCATCCATCCATCATGTAAACATTTTATTCCTAGAAGGGTTACAGGTCCTCTAAACCATTGACATGTTACATCTACATTTGGAACACATATTTTCTGCTGTACACTATGAAATGTAATTATTAATTGGTAATTCAGTCTATTCTAAAATGAATATATATATATATATATATATAGAGAGAGAGAGATAGAAGATATATATATATATATATATATATATATGTAAATATATATATAAAATCAAAAATATTCACACACACCCCATCATTCTACATTAAAGATAGACTAGATAGTATATACTATAGAGTGGTCACTGTGGCCACTTGTGGCACACATAAAAACAAAGATGGGGCCTTACATTTCATCCGCATCACATTTTAGAAACATAATCTTTAAAAAAAAATTACAGACAAAAAAATAATCGGAACCCCATATGACTAATTTGAATTAAATCAACGTTAAGGCCTTTTCTTCTTTACTTTTATTTGTAGACGTTGACCAGGAGCAGCGAGTGCTGGCAGAGGAGTTTCTCAGCAGTCTGCTCACTTCCAAGGTAGGAACTCCTTTTTTCTTTCTGTCACACCAGAGAATGAGTGTCCAGAACATTTAGCTCCGGCTGGTCCTTTGTGGCTTCATCATTACCACAATTGAACTTCCAGGCTGTACTCTAATGAATCATGTCCACCGTGGCTTTGAGGCTGACTGACTTTGTCAAGATTTTTAATTCAATCAGGCTTTTACGCATTCATTTAAATGGTATAAAAGAAAAGAAAAACAACATGCGTGGGAATTGATCATTGAAGCTGAAGGAAATTATCCGCTTGACACTTTTGTCTCAAGATAAAGCAGAGCAGAGAGATGGGAATACTGAAAATGGAAGTTGAGCTTAATGGGATTCACATGGACCTGACAGCATAAAAAAAGCACATTTTTCCCTCCTCTCTTGTCCCGGTAAATAAGTCACGCAGAGACATGGCGGTGAGAAATCAGCCGTGTGATGTTCAGGAGGCTGCTCAGGGGTGATGATCATTAGATCTTATATCCGGAAGACTGATAGGGTGCCTGAGAGAGTGGAAGGAAACGTATTTTAGAGGATGCTGTCAATCTCCATCTGAACATAAACACAATCATTTAAAACGGATGACCTACTGGTACACTGTAACTTTTCTATGATAACAAACAGGAAGTAACTTTTGCTTTAAGCTTAAGGCTTTCATAACTCATTTGATAGTTTGGCTGTTTTTGTATGTTTCAATGTTTTAGCGTGAAGATCTGATTAAATCTACAAAATCCTCCACATGACCTGTCGCTCACTGATTTCATAACTAAATCAAAACCACTTAAATCTTTGATCTATGAACGATTTTCAAACTGGATCCTTCAACTTCATGACAAACTTAAACAAAATGTATTGCTCCATACTCCAGACAGCTGAAATCAAATTAATAGGAAATATAAATCGTTCAACTATTTTTTCCTCCCAGAATGATATTTTTATAGCAGTATTTCTTGTGCATCAAGTTCTTTGCTCCGTTCACAGGTAATTTTGTTAAATGTTGCTTCTTTCCTTACAATAACTTATACTTTCAGTATTTGGAAACTGTTGGTGACACAAGCTAAAGTGGAGCTCTGTACCCCTATTAAGATCATTGGTCAGTACTCATTAGAGGGGACTAGGCTTGGCATAGAACAACATTTTTTTTACTTAAATCACTTTACAAAATAGAAATCTCTTAATCTCAGTTTGTGCCCACTGGGATCTGAGTGGACTGAGCACTGGAAAGGCTTGTACAATCTGTATCCATCAACTTTCCCTGCAGAATGATTTCCATCATGGTCACATTCAAAGATAAGAATAATTGTAGGCAGCATGTCCTCAATTATAGCAAGGATATTGGATGAGATTGCATTAATCAGTTATATCAGACCATCGTCTTGACATTGTGTCCAACCTATTTTTGTCTGGATCTAATAAACTGTGAGGTGAATCCAATCCAGTTTTCACATGATAAACCCAAATGATTTTCTCATATTTTCAAACATTTCTCCTCAACTCAGTATTCACTTTTCATTTAATATTTCACTTTTTCTCTGTAACTAAAAACAGAAAACATGTCAAATTCTCAAAAAAGGTCTAATTTGTATTAAAGTTCTTGATCTAGAAAAATAAAAGGTATTACACTGATACTGTAATTGTAATAATCATCATGCCAGATGACAGCCCACATCATCCCTATCTCAGTCCTTCTTTTTGTTCTTCTTTCTGTGCAGATGAAACACAGTAGGCAGAGCGCCCCCTTCTGGCAGGTGTCTCTGGCCAGCCTGTGCCGGCTGGTGGGCGACGTGCGGCAGGGGCTGTGGAGCAGCGAGGAGGAGGAGGTGGAGCTGAGGGAGGGGGGCCTGCATCTGCTGGAGGAGCTGTACAGCCTGCAGCACATCTGTCGAGGGCTGGAGGGGCGGGAGGAGAGGGTGAGGCGTCCACCCGCACCTCGACAGAAACACAAAAACAGTTTTTAACGAAAAGTAGTCGTATCATTAAAAAAACAACAACTATTGAAACAACTAGTTATATAATTATTTAAATATTCGGCAGTCGATCTAGGTCAGGTGGCATGTTCATTAACGTTTGTTTAAAAAAAAAAGAAAAAAATCAATACTTGTAGTTGTACTTGTATATTTTCAGGTAAGGTTTGATGTAATGCAACAGTATAGGGAATTAGCAGTATAGGGAACATGATATTTTACTAGTATAAATGCCTTTAAAATAGTTTTTTAAAAAATATCTCCATTCACAAATTGTCAAAACAAGAATAGAAAAAAATCTATTGGCACTTCAATCAATCAATCAATCAATCAATCAATCAATCAATCAATCAATCAATCAATCAATCAATCAATCAGTCAAGTTTATTTGTATAGCCCTTTACAAAAGCCAAAAGGTACCCAAAGTGCTTTACAACAAAGCCATAAAACAATACATAACACATACAAAACATACAGATACAACTAAAAGTGCTTGCTGAGATCAGGTTGTCTGCTAAATGAATAAATATACAAAAGAAAACACTTGAATCCAGCAAAGCCGACAAGAGCATGTCCCCGTTAATAAAAAACAAAACACTGAACTGGACTAAGATGCTCTCAGAACATCTGGGCATGTGCATTTTCTTGATTCTCACGCAGACACACACTTCACAGGCTCACAGCAGCCCACGTACCCTCTCCTGTAGTAAACACACCTCATTAGGCCACGCTCATACTCCCACCCCCGTGCTTCATCATTATCCCAACATCCCTACCTCAAGTCCTACACAGGGCCTTCAGATATCACCGGTTTTTCCATACATGGAAGCTCAGAGCAGAAGTCCTTAAATCCCCACTGCAACGCAACAGCCCCCCACAGCCCCCCCGTCTCCCTGCCAAATGTTGGCCTGTTACATGCTTCCATAATGTCTTTTATTTTTATTTTTTTTGTGAAGCTACTTTGACTTCATTGGACATGAACAAGCAAGTTCATGTTACATAATGAGAAATAAGAG